GCCTTATCTTTCTTCTATAGAGGTCATCAACCAAATGATTTAACTACATCACCAGTAAGGTTCCTTTGGATTTCCTATTAGAGAGATTAAAATTAAAGCCACAAGGAGACACTATCTCACTCAAGAATAATAACACTAATAAAACAAAACCAGAACATAATAAATGTTGGTAAGATTGTGAAGAGATTGGAGCTCTTATACAATGCTAGTATGAATGTAAATGGTTCAATCACATTGAAAAATGTAGTATGCCTCATTGAAAAAGCTAGAAATATAAATACCATGTAAGTCAATGATCCTATTCTTGTTGGTGTTAGGTGCTATCAAGTTGAGTACAACTCATAATGACCCTACAAACAACAGATCTGAATCCTGTCCTATCCTGTGTCATCCTCACGGTCTCTGATATTTTTTATCCCATTGTGGTAGTCACTTTGTCAATCCATCTTCATAGAATCTTCCTCTCTTGCTGATTCTCCACCCTTTTTTTCAAGCATGATGTCCTTTTCCAAGGAATAGCCTCTCCTAGCAACATGTCCAAAGTATGAGACTAAGCTTTGCCATTCTTGCCTCCAAGTACTGTTCCAGATGCACATTTTTCAAGACCTACCTGTGTGTTCTTTTGGCAGTCCACAGGATATTTAATATTTTTCCCCCAATACCACAATTCAAAGGCATAGACCTACCACAACTCATAGTGATCCCATGAACAATGGATCTGAACCTTGCCCTCTGCTGTGCCATCCTCATCATCTCTGTGATACTTGAGCCTGTTGTTAGTCACTGTGTCAATCCAGTTCATTGAGGGTCTTCCTCTTTTCAGCTCTTATCTTTCCAAGCGTGATGTTCCTTTCCGAGGACTGACTCTTCCTAACAATATGCCCAAAATATGTGCAATGAATCTTCACCATCCTTGCCTCTAAGAAGCACTCTGGCTGCACTTTCTCTAAGATATATTTGTTTGTTCTGTTGGCAGTCCACAGGATATTCAGTACTCTTCTCTCACACCACAACTCAAAGGCTTAGATTCTTCTTCCATCATCTTCAGTCGTTGTTCAATTTTCAGATGGAAAGGAAGTAATTGAAAAGATTATGACTTGAATCAGAAGCATGTTAGTCTTTAAACTGAAAGCACTGCTCCCTAACACTTTAGAGAGGTCCTTTACAGCAGATTTACACAAAGCAATACTTTTTTTATTTCCTGACTGCTAGTGTCAAGGGTATTGACTGTGGATTCAAGTTAAATGAAGCTGTTGACAACTTCAGTCTTCTCTCCATCATGACTGAGCTTTTTGGTCAAGTAGAAAGTATTTTTATCTTCTGGATGCTGAGATGTAATACATATCGAAGTCTGTAATATGTATCAAAGACTGTAGTCTTTGATCTTCTGCAGCAAGAGTTTCCTCTTTGCTTTAAACAAGCAAGGTTGTGTCATCTACAAAACTCAGATATTTAATATCACCCTTGAATACCTAAATAAATAAAAGCCATGACACAACTAGCATGTGTACACCCATATGTATGGAAGTATTATTCATAATAGCAAAAGGATAGAAACAACCTAAGTGTCCATCAACAGAAGAGTGGATAAACAAACTCTAGTGCTTCCACACAATGGAATATTACAAATTTATAAAGAACAATGATGTTCTCCTATCATTCACAGCAATGTTCTCTTGTTACAAGTCAATTCAGATTTTCTATTGATCATTGAGCAAACTTTGATAATTTACTTCTTTTTAGGTAGTTGTCTTTTTCATCTAAGTATCTATCTACTTTATTGGCATAAACTTCTCAAATTTTGATATCTACATTAAAGAACTGAATTCCTACTCTTACTTTATAATTTAAATAATGTTACTAAAAGTTAGTATTTTATTAATCTATTTAAGACAATTTATTTTTATTTCAATTGTCTTTGATCCTCCAACTTTTTCTCAATTTTATATGACATATACTCATTCTATCCTATTATTCTAATTAATTTTATTGATGTCTTCACTGTGACTTCATTTTAAGAATTGAGACCCCCTAAATAGGACTTGTACAAGAATACATATTTAAATATTATTCCCTACATAGGCAAGTTATATGAGTATTACATTCCCTTCTTTGTGGATTCAATTCCAAAACCTGTAGGTATCTCTCAAAAGAAAATGTTTAAAATCACATCAAATATCAATTTGTTTCCTATTCATATCATCGTTTTCTTGATTTAGTATTTCTTAGAATTTCTGATTTTCTTTTCTTTTTCCTTGGAAGAAGGAATAAACCATCTGAAGAACAGATTTTATACACTGAACACTAATGATTGATAAACTGTGGGATGACATGATGGATATCATTCATAAAGAAAGCCAAAGATCCTCATAAAGGCAGAGGAGAAAGAAAAGACCAAAGTGAATGTTAGAAAAGGAAAGACACTGAAAATCCCACTAGAATTTAGAGAACCCAAAACAAAGGGAAGAAATGATAAATAAAAGAGCTGAACACAAGATTTCAAAGGATAGTTTGAGAAAATTATTAAAGTAAATAATTATTAAAGTAAATTATTATAATGAAATTTGCAAAGAGTTGGAGTTAGAAAACTGAAAGGGAAGAACATGTTTGGCATTCTCAAGGAACAAACTCAAGCCTGGAGTTGCAACACTGAAAGATTCTCTGGGCAAAATCGTCAATATTGCAGGAATTGTAAAAAAAAAAAAAAAAAAAGGGAAAGAATACACACAAATATTGTACCAAAGAGAACTGTTAACACTGAAACATTTCAGGAAGTAGCTTATGATCAAGAAACACCAGAAAAGGAGGACGAAGCAGCACTGAAGGCACTGGCAAAAAAGATGGTCCCAGGAAGTGATGAAATATCAATTGATGTTTCAACAAACAGATACCCTCGACATGCTCACTAGTCTATGCTTAGAAATTTAGAAGACAGTTACTTGGCCAATTGACTGAAAGAGATCCGTATTTGTGCCCAAGGTGATCCATCAGGATGTGGATATTATTGAACAGTCTCATTAATACTACATGCCAGTAAAATATTACTGAAGAATATTAAAAACTGGCTGGAAAAGTACATTGACAGGAAACTGTCAGAAATTCAAGCTGGATTCTGAAAAGGTCATAGAATGAGGGAAACCATTATGGTTTTCAGATGAATCTTGGCTGAAAGCAGAGAATATCAGAAGATGTGATTCTTGACTAGGCAAAGGCATTTGACTGTGTGTGATAGCTCTACAAATAGTTGTGCAGGCTGGGTGTAGGAAAGGCTGTGGCACTAGTGACAATATAGCCAATGTTAGACAGATGTTTGCTAAAAGCAGAGAGTACCAGAGGAATGTCTATCTGTGTTTCATTGACTATGCAAAGACCTTTGACTGTGTGGATCACAAGTGGTGGCTTGCTTTGAGAGGAATGGAAATCCCAGAACACTTGATTGTGCTTAAGTGAAACCTATACTCAGACCAGGAGGCAGTCATCAGAACAGAGCAAGGAAACACTGCATGATTCAAAATCAGGAAAGGTATATGCCAAAGATGTATCCTATCTCCATACCTTTTCAATCTATATGTGGAACAGATCATTTGGGAGGCTAAGCTCTGTCAAGAGGAATGTGGAATCAGGTGTGGAGGAAGACTCACTAACAGCTGGCATTATGCAGATGATGCAACCTTGCTTGCTGAAACTGAGGATGACCTGAGGCATTTGCTGTAGAAGATCAAGAACCACAGCTTTCAATATGGACTGAAGCTCAACATCAATAAAACAAAGGTTCTCACCACTGGGCCAATGGGCCAATGATAGAGGGTGAAGAAATTGAGATTGTTAATAGTGTCAGTTTGCTTAGCTCCACCATCAACAATCTCGATACTTGCAGTCAGGAAATCAAAAGGTTAAATTGCATTGAGAAAATGTGCTGTCAGGGACCTCACTGGAGTACTGATGACCAATGATGTCAGTCTAGAGACCAAGGTATACTTGATCCAAGCCACGGTCTCCTCAATTATTTGCCATGCATCAGAAAGCTGGACAATGACTAATCTTTGACTTCTTGATATTGAGCATCAATCCATATTGAAGGCTGCAGGAGAGGAAGACCTTGATGAGGTGGATTTATTCAGTGAATGGGGTAACTGGGGTAGGTCTGTCAGAGACAGTGAGATTGGCACAGGATAGGGCAGAATTTAGGGCTGTTGTACATAGGGTCGCTATGAGTCACCAGCAACTAACAACAACATGTGTGTATGAAAGAGATGGATAGGGGGACAGAGTGAGCTTACTAAGGCCATAAAAGGCAATGAAATAGATCCTCCCTGGAGCCTCCAGAAGGAATACAGCCCAAATGACACCTTGCTTTAAGTCTGTTGCTGTCGTGTGCTCTCGAGTTGGAACTAACCCATAGTTGACAGTCCAATGGGTTTTCATAGGCAGTAAATCACATGGGAGGATATAACCCATCCTTCTCTTGCCACTTTAAATCTAGTAAAATTCAGTGAGGCGATATACTCTCTAGGAGTAGAAAATAAATATATGTTTATGAAGCTACTACACTTGTGATAATGGGTTACAAGGACAAAAGGAAACAAATACAGTAAAGGAGAAGTAGGAGTCACTGGAGTTTGCTGGAAGCCAAAGGAAGGAGGTTGGTCTGAAGTCTGAGGGCAGCAGAAGCCTCTGAAAGGACCAGAGGTTGTTGTGAAAGGATCTAGATGATTCAGGGAAGCTATGCTGGCTATACTGAGAGGGCTGGATGCGAGTGGACAAAGTCTCTTTAAGGAACTGCTGCTGTGGATTCTGCCTTGTATAGTCCAGATCCGTCCTTTCTTTTGTGGATGACCCTTTGGTGTTGGATCAGCAATGGCCTGATTTTTGTATGGTTAGGAAATATTGAGCATTGTATGATGAGCCTTTAATCAAGAAAAGAGATACTGATAGGCCCAAATAGTACAGTATTATGAGCAAGGACATGGTACTTGCACAACTTGAAATCTACTTCTCACCTTGATTTTCCACATCCTTCAGTGGGTCCACTCCTGGAGATAGAATAAAAAACATGGGAGTAGCTGGTCCTGATTCTTCAAATGAGGTTGCAAAATCAAGCGCTCTTCCCATTACATATTTGCTTCCCAACTTCTCCTCAACAAAGTCTCTGTCAGAAATAAAGCACAGACATGTACATATATATTACAACTCAACTGTGAGGAAAGAAGGTCTTCACAACTGGTACAATTAATAGCATTACAATAAATGGAGAAGAAATTGAAGTTGTCAAGGATTTCATTCTCCTTGGGTCAATAATCAACATCCCAATAGCCAAGAAATCAAGGTATTGCATTGGGCTAAACTGCTGCAAAATATGCCTTTAAAGTTTTAAAAAGCAAAGATTTTAATTTGATGACTAAAGTGTATCTGAAAAAAGTCATGGCATAGTCTATTGCCTTTTGCTGTTGTTATTGTTAGGTGCCATCAACTGAATGTAACTCATAGCAACCCTATGAACAACAGACTTGAACTCTATCCTATCCTGTGTCATCCTCACCATCTCTGACACATTCAAGTGCACTGCTATAGTCACTGTGTTAATTCCCTTGGTTGGGGGGGGGTGTCTTCCTATTTTTCGTCCTCCCCTCATCTTTCCAAGAACATTGTCCTTCTCCAAGGAATAGCCTTTCCTAGCAACACACCCAAAGTATGTAAGATGAAACTTCATCATCCTTGCCTCCAAGGAACACTTTGTCTGCACCCTCTCCAAGACATATCTGTTTGTTAATTTGGCAGTGCATGGGATGTTCAGTGCTCCTCTCAAACACCAGAGTTCAAAGGCATCAATTCTTCATCTGTCATCCTTATTCACTATCTAGCTCTCAGTAGCACAGCAAGTGTCTGAAAGGCCATGGTCTGAATCAAGTGCACGTTAGTCCTTAAACTAACGTCACTGGCTTTTATGTATGTGGAAACGAGACAATGAGAAAAGAAAACAACTAGCAGAACTGATGTTTTTTGAACCATGGTGTTGGTGAAGAATACTAAATATAGACTCTGCCAGAAGAACACATAGATTTTAGAAGAAATATAAGCAGAATATTCCTTAGAAGTGAGGTGGTAAGACTCAGCCTTTCTTAAATTTGGACAAATCATCAGGGAAGGACCAACCATATTACAAAAGAATATGATGTTTGACAAAAGTCAAACAAAGCTCAGTGCCAACAAGTGGACTCTAACTCACAGCAACCCTTCACTGGGTTTCTGAGGCAGTAAATCTTTATGGGAGGAGACGCCCTTCTTCCTTCCATGGACTCTGGCAGATTTGAACCACAGGCCTTTCAGTTAGCAGTCCCACATGTTACACGTAATGCCATCAAGACTCCTTTCAGTAGAGAGTAAAAAAGCAACAACAACAACAACAACAAAACAACAACAAACCAAAATGAAAAGAAAACCAAGACCAAAAGAAACTATCAATGAGACAGAATGAATCATTAGCTATAACAATACAATATAACATACCAGCATTCATGGGAAATACTTCATTCTGTTATACATAAGGGCACCAGAAATCAGAACTTACTTGATAGCAACTAACAACATATTGTTGTTGTTAGGTGCTGTCAAGTTGAGTATGATTTAAAGCGACCCTATGAACAAAAGATCTGAACCCTGTTCTATCCTGCACCATCCTCACACTTCTTGACACACAAGAGCCCATTGCAGCAGTCACTGTGTCAATCCACCTGCTTGAGGGTCTTCCTCTTCTTTGTGGACCCTCCACTCTTCCCAGCATCTCAATGCCTCAGGCTAGTTACAAAACTAAGATCAACACAAATTTCATGAATTAAAATTTGATGAAGTCTAAGCTTACACCCATGCATCAAGGCCAGACTTGACTCATTCTGTGAGTCCTGGTGTCTAGTAACATTGTCTTTGGAAAGCTAATAGGCAGCCAATCCTCTGTATCCTGGATAATTTCTATCCCTTCCCCAACACTTAAGATCCTCTAGTAATGTCTTCTCTCATGTTCCTGTATTCTCTGTGTTTCAATGTCCCCTTCCAATGTATTCTAGTTCATGCTAAACCAAACCTAACATATTAAACAACTATGTGCACTTCACTGAAAATTTGAACCACCTCTTGGTCTTAATGATAGTCTCTCTCATGAATATAAATTCCCCTGTAACATTCTCAATTTGGTTTATTTTCCTATATACCTATTGCTTGCATACTGACTACCTCATTAGCTGACATTTTACATTTAGGACCAAAGTAAAAAAAAAAAATTCTACTATCTGACCATTTTATGCATTAATGATATGCACTTGACAGTAAAAAAATGCTGTGGTGTGAAGTGATCATAAACGCTGGCTGTGACAATTATGTGTTAACTTGGTGAGGCCGTGACATGCAGTCTTTAGCAATTATGTAATGACGTAAGTCATGGTTAGGTAACAATATAGTTATTCTCCATTTTTTATTTGATGTGGTCATCCTCTATTACTGGTAACACTAAAACACAACCACATCGTCTTTGGAACTTAATTGTGTCAGTGAGGAATGGGCATGCTTGATAAACATTAGGATTGGAAGGTGGCATCCCTATCCCATGCAAACGCCATGCCTTTGCTCCTTTTTTAAAAAAAAAAAAAAAACCGATTGAGGTATAATGTCTATATTTTTTTAAAAATAATTTATTTAAAATGGACAACTCAACAATTTTTAATAAATTTATCCAACTGTACAACAATCTAATAGCACAGTTTCATCATCCTCATAAGATCCTTCATGCTTAGTTAATTAGTTCCTATCCCCAAAGTCCTCAGGGAACTACTAATCTAATTTCTGGGTCTATGTAACTGCATTAGTATTAAAAGAAGTATTAAAAGAAGATGGAAAGAATATACTGAATCACTGTATCGAAAGGAA